AATTGTTCTGTGATTTATAAAAGTTGAAAACGACATTATTGTTTTTAATTTGATCTGACTGTTGTTTTATTGTTATACGATTAATATTTAAACATTTGTATCTAGATTGGCCTTTGCTTGCAATTATGCAAATGGCATTTGAATGTTTTCCGACTATTATCTGGCTATTATCAGAAGATTATTTGTTATTTGCTCAAATTTTGTCACGTTGTTTTTTTTGTTATTTGCTCAAATTTTGTCACGTTGTTTTTTGAAGTATGACTGACAAAAAAATTCCATTCTTTATCAAAAAGGGGTTTTGCATTTAACTGGATCACATTTTAAAATACGTTAATAATAAGATATTATTTTAACACCTAAATATAAATTCAAATGCAAATTTACTTTAACTTTTTCTACCTTAAATTATTTAAGAATTTACCCAAAAACATATATTTTCCAAATGAAGTCACCCCGAACACGTTCAATTTGTTTTGTATTTCATTTTTACTGGCTCTCAGCTGCCTAAAATGGGAAATCAAACAGGCTTTGTGTTAATAAAAAAAAGCGAGATGTTGTCCTTTTTATTCCCCCTCTTTTTTAGCACTGTGTTTGACTATCCTGCGCACCCATAAACTTCCTCGACAGTCCATTCAGATACGCTTTAACTGCATCTTTAAGCCCGAAGCGATGGAAATTCATTAATGGTTTCTGCCCTCTGGACGGATGTTGCACCTTGTCGCCATAAAATTCCCCAAGCGACTATAAGTAGGCCATATACTGGCACTTATAGGAGGAGCCAAACAGTTTGTTGTGGATGTTGTTGCTCTTGCCATCGCGGGCCAAAGTAAAATCCCATTAAAGTGAGCGTTTGTTCTCGCCCAGGCTATATCGCCTTGTTTCATTACGTCACGGACTCAAAGATAAATCGCTGCCGCAGAAGAAGCTCAAGCCACAGGGAGCCAATACACTGTTACATACATTATGTTTTTGGAAATATTAAAATAATTTATAAAACAATATTATTCGGTTATATTTAACTATTTTGGAATTTAAAAATATTTATTATCCCTTTTTTTTAATTCCCTAATTTTGGGAAAAATAAAATATTATATGCTTTTGTGTCGTTATTTTTCAATATTGAAATAATATATACAACTACAATATTTTGATTTATACAAGTATTTTAAAATTTTAAATTATATTGATAAAGAAAACAATCAGTAGGCTAATAGTTTTTGTTTAGTAAGTTAATATATTTATACCCTTGCGAGGGTATTATAATTTTGGTCAAAGTGCAACGCAGTGAAGGAGACATCTCCGACCCTATAAATTTATATTCTTGATCAGATCACCTCCTGAGTTGATATAGCCTGTCCGTCTGTCCGTTGTGTTGTCCGTCTGTCCGTCTGTCCGTCTGTCCGTCTGTCCGTCTGTCTGTCCGTCTGTCTGTTTCTACGCGAACTGTCTCTCGTTTTAAAGATATCAATTGAACTTTGCACACACCCTTCTTTCCTTTCAGCAGTATATAAGTCGACGGGGTCGACTATATCCTATAGCTGCCATTAACTGATTGATCGGAAATGCCTAACTCTGTGTTTGTTAGTTAGGAAGTTGGGACTCTCTTGGGTATTATATTTGGCCAATCAATCCGACGTACCAATTTCTAGGATCGGCGACTATATCCTTAGCTGTTTAATGATTGATCGAAATGCCTAACTTTGGTGTTTGTTGTTGTTTTTTTTTATTGACATTAATCACCTCCAATTTATCACGATATTTAGTGCTATAACTGATTTAAATGATAACTTTTTTGTAGTTGTTTTTTTTTTCATACACTACCAATTTATCCCTTATCTTACCGTTACTTTATCAATGCCATATTTTTTAAGTTGTTTAGTTTTTTTATTTTATTATTTTTTTTTTTTGTTTTTCTTTTTTTGTTATACATTGTCTTGCTCCATTTAAAATAATAGGTAAAACTTATTCGAATAAAATCTTACCACATAATATACTTTATTAACAAACCTTCTCTTGTTATTTTCGAGAATCTGAATTAAAGATGTGATGCTTTGTTTTAAAAATGTTAAAATAATTATTTTTACAAATAATAATTAAACCAATTTTAAAAAATAATTATTTTTGCAAGCAGAACGTATTTCATGTCATTTAAACCTTAAGCAGTACTATTTCTCCTTAGTGTAGGACATAAAAAAGAGACAAAAATGGTGACAAATGCATCAAAATTAAAATTACGAAGTGCCGCAGATCAGGAATTCAAGGGAAGGGAAGGGAAGGATGGGGATTGCCGACAGCAGGATGACACACTCAAGCTGCTTTGTGCTGCTTGTTAGTAATGATAATGGGAGTGCGGCGCGTGAGTCCTGCAGAAGGACAATGGGCCAGGGATAAGGACCAGAAGCCAGGAACCAGAAACCAGGAACCAGGGACCAGGACCAGGAAGATGCGGATGATGGCAATGATTATGTCGGCGACACTCGAGGCTTTCCAATGCCGGCTGCTGGTAATGATTTTGATGGAGTTTATGGCTCCCGCCCGCCAAGCCATGGATAAATGCGTTCATAAAAAGAAAGACAAAACAAAAAATTGTTAACTGGCAATTTTTCTTGTTTCCCACGTCGTTGTTCTCTCTTACACAATATCCGGCATTCGTGGCCCATTTCTTTAGCCATAACCTGGACCAGCGTTCTATTAATTTATCAAAATGATTATTTTTCTGCCCTCATCTCCGCGGTGTTGAATTCTTTTGACATTCCTCCTGTTAACCGGGTGGCAGAACCTCAAGGCATTGCATAACTTGCCGTAATATCTTGAGTAATTTTTAACAATTTCTTCTGGCTTTCGCTTTCTTTGATAAATTGTCTTTTGTATTACTAAAAAAAATATATTATAAACAAGGAAAAGCATGTGCTTTATTAAGCTATCACTGTAACATTTTTCTTGTTTGTAAGCAATTTCTAATGATTAATGATTTATTTTAAATCCATTTGACAAGAATAGTGTATATGTCTTATTTAAATCTTAATAATGTTGTGTTAATATATTAATAAAGTGGCGATAATTACATATTGTATTAAATTGGTTTTAAGGCATTTTTCATAAGTTTTGCACCTCTTGACACGTTTGTAAGAACTTGCTTTTAGTTATTAGGTTCCTTGAAGGATATTTAAAGGATACTGTAGAAACTTTTTCTTTTATCTAATGACACAGTAGTCTTATATTGCAATTACATTTTGCCATCGGCAAAGTATTCACCCTTTCGAGTTGACTATGTTGGTCTTGTTATCTGTGACCCAGGGTGTTCATTAAAACATGTGTTCATTAAAAGCAGGAATTCAATTTGAAACCTTGTAAAGTTTCCCCGAACTCGCCCGAAGTCTGTGATTTCGGGGCATTGCATTATCCGACTTGGCCCAAATATTCTACAGTTTAACCAAGTGCACCTGCAAAACTTTTCCCAGCCGTTGTTAGGAGAATCCAATTAAATTTGCATTTAGTTGCTGTACGTGATCAGAAGCCATCAGCTATCGGCATACTTGCATCGTTGGTTCCTGTTTGCTCGGTTGCTTGCCAAAACTTTTGGCCTTCGGGGGAAGCAATAAAATTCCGTGAACATCCTATTGTAAACATGAGATTAAATGCCGCCCAGGGCCAGGTTCTTCAATGATGGTACAATGGAGGGATTACCAATTGTTTTGGCCTGCTGGTATCAGGCAATTAACAATTGTTCCGATTGGTTGCAGCGCCTAATTGCGAACCTTGGTGGACAATGGACTCCTTTGGTAATAGCCCTTTCGTTGCGGCTAACCACTTTCAGAAGTCCCAGCCCAATCAATTTTTGGTCGAGATCTGGACTTTATGAGCTTCCACGTCTGTTGTCTTTACTATGGCACTAAGATTTCGAATTTCTTAAAGTGCATTCTCAAGATGGCACATTTAAAGCTGTTGAAATAAAAGGCTCAGTGGTTATTTGTTGATTTAAGCAATACAATTATTTTCTGAGCACAAAAGTGAAAATTCAGGAGCTTCTGAATGGAACTCATCTAGGGCTTAGAGCTGTCCGAAGAGTATCAAAGTAGTATCAAAGTTTCTGGAGATTTCCGTCGAGATGCCCAGTTAGAGACAGCAACTGTCACATGGGCATTGTTTTTAATAAACAGGAACCAGCCCGAAACCGAGTGAGATTGTCAGACAGCAACTAAAAATAAAAGCCAGTCAGGGCAACAACTTAATCCCTTTTGGCCAAAAAACAGTCGAACAAAAGGAGGGAAAGGAAAAGTGAAACCAAGTTTTCGGGGTGGAAAGGAGGTGGATGGGAGTAATGGATGTTCCGACAAAAAAGTTAGTTTTTAAGTCCGTTTAAGACATGTTCCCTGCAGAAAACTTTGAAATAAGTTCAGTTTCAGTAGTCAATTTTATGGCAGCTCTTACAATGATGTTACATGGCGATAAAGCTTTCATAATCATCGATTTTAATAAGCTTCTATGGCAATGTAATTCTTTGTTTTTAGCAAATGCGCTTTAAACGAAAGGTTCATCGTATTTATTTATAGAGAAATAGTTTTTCTTAGTCAATATTGAAATAAAAAATTTTGCAGCCTATCAATTAGTCTTAAAATGGACAAAAATATTAACTAATTTAAATTATTAAACTATTAGCTATTTTAAATAAATTACATTTTTATTGTTAGTATTCTTAATAGATAAGTATTTTGAATTAATGCGCTTGTCACTCTTATTAACTAATTTATATACATAAAATAACACAATTACTTAAAAAAAAAATATTTAAATATTTATTATATTAACAAATGCTATACTATTTACTAATATAAGTAACTAAAATTTGTAACTTATTTAAATAAATAAAATAAATAAAAAGAAATGTATGTTTATTAAAGCTTAAATTTTGTCAGCTTAGGGTAAAAATCTTTCTTAGCTATGATTTTCCTCAATTCCACAGTTAAACTAATACCGCCTCCATTTCTGTTTGCTTTCAGAACTCAAAGGCTCAGTCAATTAGCGATGAAGGCTTTGTGAGCGGCCAAGAGGTTTTTGGCCAGGCCACCGAGTAAGGAGCTCAATTCCGGCGGCGACGGAAATGGCTGCTTAAGTGGTGCGCATCCGAACCGGAACCACCGGCAGCAGCAAGTCGAGCACGCAACCGCCACTCAACTCATTAGCCCGGCCGTAAAGATGGCCAACTTGAGCTCCACCACCAGCACCACCCAGATTCCCCTGGCCAGCACGACCAACTGGAGCCTGACTCCGCCGGGGACCACCAGCGCCATCCTGGCGGATGTGGCTGCTGCCGCTGCTGCTGCGGCTGCGGAGGAGGAGAGGAGCGGCGGGATCATCCACAACCAGTTCGTGCAGATCTTCTTCTACGTCCTGTACGCCACCGTCTTCGTCCTGGGAGTCTTCGGGAACGTCCTGGTCTGCTACGTGGTGCTGCGGAACCGGGCCATGCAGACGGTGACGAACATATTCATCACGAACCTGGCCCTGTCGGACATACTGCTCTGCGTCCTGGCGGTGCCCTTCACCCCCCTGTACACGTTCATGGGCCGCTGGGCCTTCGGGAGGAGCTTGTGCCACCTGGTGTCCTTCGCCCAGGGCTGCAGCATCTACATCTCCACGCTGACCCTGACCTCCATCGCCATCGACAGGTACTTCGTGATCATATACCCCTTCCACCCGCGCATGAAGCTCTCCACGTGCATCGGCATCATAGTGAGCATCTGGGTGATAGCCCTGCTGGCCACCGTTCCCTACGGGATGTACATGAAGATGACCAACGAGGTGGTCAACGGCACGCAGGCCGGGAACGAGACCCTGGTGGAGGCCACTCTGATGCTGAACGGGAGCTACGTGGCCCAGGGATCGGGACTGCTGGCCGACGTCCCCGACGCCACCTCGGCGGCCCAGGCCTACATGCAGGTGATGACCGCCGGGTCGACGGGGCCGGAGGCGCCCTACGTGCGGGTGTACTGCGAGGAGAACTGGCCGTCGGAGCAGTACAGGAAGGTGTTCGGGGCCATCACCACCACGCTGCAGTTCGTGCTGCCCTTCTTCATCATCTCCATCTGCTACGTGTGGATCTCCGTGAAGCTGAACCAGCGGGCCAGGGCCAAGCCGGGATCGAAGTCCTCGCGGCGGGAGGAGGCGGATCGGGACCGCAAGAAGCGCACCAACCGGATGCTCATCGCCATGGTGGCCGTCTTTGGACTCAGCTGGCTGCCCATCAACGTGGTCAACATATTCGACGACTTCGACGACAAGTCCAACGAGTGGCGCTTCTACATCCTGTTCTTCTTCGTGGCCCACTCGATCGCCATGAGCTCCACCTGCTACAACCCCTTCCTCTACGCCTGGCTGAACGAGAACTTCCGCAAGGAGTTCAAGCACGTCCTGCCCTGCTTCAATCCCTCGAACAACAACATCATCAACATCACCAGGGGCTACAACCGCAGCGACCGGAACACCTGCGGTCCGCGGCTGCATCACGGCAAGGGGGAGGGGGGACTGGACGCCGACGACCAGGACGAGAACGGCATCACCCAGGAGACGTGTCTGCCCAAGGAGAAGCTGCTGATCATCCCGCGGGAGCCGACCTACGGCAACGGCACGGGCGCCGTCTCGCCCATCCTGAGTGGGAGGGGCATCAATGCCGCCCTGGTCCACGGCGGGGACCACCAGATGCACCAGCTCCAGCCCGCGCACCACCAGAATGTGGAGCTGACGAGGAGGATCCGCCGGCGCACGGACGAGACGGACGGCGACTACCTGGACTCCGGCGACGAGCAGACCGTGGAGGTGCGCTTCAGCGAGACGCCGTTCGTCAGCACGGACAACACCACCGGGATCAGCATCCTGGAGAGCAGCACGAGTCAGTGCCAGGACTCGGACGTGATGGTCGAACTGGGCGAGGGAATCGGCGCAGGCGGAGGGGAGCTCGGGAGACGATTCAACTGAGACAGGGTAAGTACCTGGGCGATGGATTAGTGTAAGCCACTCGGAGGGGAAACTGCAATCTCATGACTGGGCAATCATCAGAAATTGGACTTACAGTTTAGATTTTACCTTACAACACATTGCAGAAAGGAAAACTTTGTTAAGTTCGTATCATCTTTAATATATATTTATATAATGTATAGCATTATAATCACTTTTAACTCTTCCACCAAAAAATAATAAATTATTAAAGTCGAGTGTCCTCAACAATAGTATTACATATGGAATGCTTTTTCTATCTCGTAATAAAATTCCCTATCAATTGGCTTGCATACCTGAACATTTTTATTTTTTTCCCCATTTGTAAAAATATTTCATGTGACCTCTTATTTATCTGATAAATCATTTCGCTTATTAGTTAAACAGCTAACTTTAAAAATAGTTTTTTATATATTTTTATACTTATTTGTCCGGGGCTCTTTAGGTCAAAGCAGTCGAAAAGTTGCTTTGTGGACCAATATGAGATATACGTTTAAAGCCGTCCGTTCGAAGTTAACTGAAAGTTTGCTCATATCCCGCCAACAACAGCAGTTACTTTTATCAATATCACAAAAGAATCCGCCCGAATTCCATATCCTTTTCGTCACAGGGAGAGAGTCGAGTGGATTGCAAGCTCATCGCTTGATTGCGATTGTGCAGGACCGAAAATTGCTTACCGAATCACACAGAATTTTGATGAAGGAATCATCCCGTTTCTTTCCGGACAAAGAGCAGGCCATTAGTGGGAGCGAATTCTGAGCAAACCTGCATGGATTCTATAAAATTTGCAGTAAAAGCAAAGCGAACTTGCAGCATTCCCACTCCCGCCCCTTTGCCACAAAGGCCAGCATCTGGCAGCAGATTTTGGCAGTGTTTGGGCCAAATTTCGTTTGTTGAGCTGCAGTCTGGGAAAAACACTTACCTGCATAGTATTACCCGTACCCCAGTGAGCAGTAAATCAACTGCCATGAGTCAGCCAAAAGTTGCTTCCTGTCAGCGCACAAATCTCGACCTCCAAGCAGCCCCCAGAAGTTCCGCTCTTCGAGGAGGTAATAAAAGTACATGTTTTTGGAGGGGAACGGGTGCTGTAACTTGGTTAGCAGTGCAACATTTCTGACAGCTTTAATACTCTATTGAAATTTATGCGAAAAAGTACACCATGATTGTATTTTTAGCAGCAGAAGTTCAATTCCCCCCAAAAAGTAAAGGATTCAGCAAAATCTTTAAATTTGAAAGGGGCTGGTGTGGATGGGAAATGGAAAAATATAAATACCATCAATACCTATTTTTAAAAAAACGTGTATTTAATGGCATCAGTTCAGTCAGAATCAATCAAAATGAAACCTAATCCATTACAATGAATTTTGTATCATAAATCACATAAATAATATTTAATACAGCAACAGCATGCTGCAAAACTTTTTCCTAAGAATTTTGTATTTATTTAAATTGGTCTTGAGTTTCATCCCCATTGCGGAAACATACACAAATAATTTTCAAGAGCATAACTTCTTCGATATAAGCTGCTTAGAAAGCAACATAAAATCGTTGCGCATAAAGTTTCTTCTTTAAATGGCCATCCCAGGAACTTTTGAAGTCCGCCGGAGGCTGTGCGTCCGTGACGGATGGCCAGGACTTGGTAATGGATTACAGAAATATGAAAAACGTGCCGACAATAAAGCGACCCTTTAACGTCTCGGCCATTCCCCACTATTTCTCGGCCAAGATTGGGCAGGTGCACTAACATAAATATACATGCCTAATATATGCACACAAATTACCAACTAAATTGGCCACCAAATGCCAAGCAACATTTACTTCTGTGCCCATACTTATTTATAATCTTTGGATCTTACGATATACAGATGTCTAGCCAAAGTGAATAAGGGGTCATAAAGTTTATAAATACTTTTAATTCGATTAAAAACAAAGAGTTGAAGGCAGCAAACATAAAAAAGGAAGGTCCACACATTTCATTTCGAATTTTATAAATCAACATTTTAATTTGGTTTCGCCTTCGAAAACGTATGAAGTAATTTTTTTAGTGTGTATACAATATTTTTGGTTTGACGCAGTGTTTTCTTTTTGTTTGTGACCCAAATAAAATCATCTAACAGTTTTAAGCCTTCAATCTAATACGAATTTAAGAAAATAACAAGCAAACTAAAGTATTTTCATGATTTTCATGCCAAAAAAAGGATCAAATGTCTTCGTTGGATGAGTGGCAAGCAAAAAGATATTGCTTATGCATTATTAATGCAGTCTGCAACACTCGCAAAAATCTCTGAAAAAATAATTATCTTTGAAAGTTAATAAAGTAAAGAATCATTGTAAATGGCTAGGATATCACATAGTGCCCATAGCACTTTAATATATGTGTACATTTTAGTGGCTTTCCTCAATCTGGCACAAAGTATGCACTCAGTGAAATATCAACTAGCCAGGGGATGTTCTTGTTTGCATTTGGGTTATGTTTGCGGTGGGTTTTTGAAAGCACAGAGAGAGCTCAGACAGATGCCCAACGAGACCAGGATGTGTGAGCGGCGAAGGACCCCCGGCTAATGAATTATTCAGGCGGGTCGTTAGCAGAGCACAATCCCCCACGACTCTGCCTAATTACCCTGCCGGGCTGAGAGGCCGCCTGGACAGTAAATAAACGCAGCTCCTGTGGCCAGGACCTCTGGAGGCGAGTGGCAGGATGGGCCCCAACGAATGAATGAATGAATGAATGAAGAATGCCCGGCATATCTCAAATACGTATCTCGGCAAACTGCGACCGACTCTAATCTCCTCACCGAGATAGTTGCATGTCCGACCATCTGCATTATGCATGAGGTTCACTGCTCCGCATTTAGAGCAGTCTGCTCCGGACTCCGAGAATCCTTCTGTAAGCAAGTGAGAAACTCTATTTAACAACTTGATTTTTTTTGTTTATGGTGACACTCAGACAAATTTCTTATTGACTTAGGTTTTATAATTTAAGGCCCGATTTCTTATATGCACGGTAACAGAACTCAAACTATTCAAACTATGAAAACATATACAATTTTCCAGTATTAAGGTAACCAAAAGGATTTGAAAATATATTAATAACATTTTATTTTCCAATAGATTTAAAATTTCGAGTGAATGCTATCACTTATGTTTCATGATTGTAAGAACAAAACCAAAACAAAATCAAAACCCACTAATCTGACTTTGTAAAATGTGATTTACAATAGTTTAATCTATGTAAAGCAAGAATAACACCAAATTTTATTTAGAAGCTAACAGCGTGCTTACTAATAAATCTCTGTCTAAATTTCCGTAATAAAGAATTTCTTGTCTTCAAATAATTTTTCTTAGTGTAGTAAACTGCATGTCTGCTAATGGCAAATGGTTGCAAAAAGTTCTCGTGACTTCGATCGAGAACAATGTAAGCCGGACAGCAACTGATAACTGCTGGAAAGTTTTTAGACTAAAAGTGCTGTGAACAAAGTTTTCTGCTTGTATTTAGATCAAATTTGCAGCAATTTGAAACACTCACCGCAATAAGTTTTGTGCAGCGACCACACGGTAGCAATTGAAATTTTTGTGCCAGCCACACAGAAACTGCAAATAGTTAAGTGCAAACCAATTTTTAGCCACGAGGTAAATTTTGATAACTTAAAAATTCCATTATTGCCTAATTTTATATTTATACACATTGAAGCCTGTTTGTCGTATTAAATTTATTCAAGCAAAAGTGGGAATGCATTTAAATGGCTTTAGGAAGACTTAAATCTAAAAACGAAAATTTAAAAAACAGGTGAAATTGATAACTAGTTTCGGTATTAGTAAATTCCATCAGTTTTTCTATCCAATGGCACATCAAATATAATTAAATTTATCTATTTTTCTGAATTCCATTTGCCCTAGGATTTGATTGCTATTCGTTAACCTTTTATGTACTTTGTTTTATTCTCCAATCGAATTTGAATTCGCAATACGCATTTAGACCGAATGGCAATGCATTTCCCATTTTCCAGGCCCTCCAATCAATCACACTAAAAGTGCATAATGGTGTTGTAAAATCAAAGAGTCTGATTAAACCGATACTAAAGCGATACCAAGGGTATAAATATCGAGAGTTTGGCAAACATGCCACGCCCCCATCCATTCAGGGGGGCGTAGGAATGTGCATGTGAGTGTGTGTGGATTTAACGGCTACAATAACAAGGACTTTGGCTGCTTATCAGACAGACACCCTCACTCTCGCATAAAGAGGAATAACATTATTTCAATATGTACTTACACTCGATGCGAAATGTTTTTGGCATTGGCTGGCAATAAAAAAATTATTGCCTGGCATTTACTTGTTCACGCGATCGTCGCAGTCCTCCAAATCGGGGATTTTAAGTGTTATGAAACATGTGTTCCCTTTGGCAATTTCACGGGGAGTTGACGCCCCTCCATATAAGAAGTTAAGGAGGGGAAAATACTGTGTCTTAGCAAAGTTTGCATAAAAATTTGAAAGTCATCTTCAGATTAAGATACCGAGAAAAGTCAGGGTTAATAAATAAACCAAAACATTTAAAATTTGTAAGCAGCGTTTTACTTTTGAAAACCTAAGACTTTTGATAGATTTATATGTATGCAGGAATTGCAATATAAGCTTTAATTTTAAATGAGTTTTCGTATACTATAACTTTTGATTATATCAGTTGTTGATTTAAAAATGTATAGAAAGAATGTTTAAATTTTTAAAATTTTAAAATATTTAACAAACAAAAAAATATAATATACAATTCCTCTTAAAATCCAAATGTAATTACATACCTTAAGCTAAATTTCAAATTTTATTTTTTTTAAATTTATTTCATTCCGTTTTTTATTTGTATTAATATTTCCCCTTTACCCACGCCTCTGACAGGCAAAACCAAACATCTTTGCCCGAGGGCTTGGGCACTTAAGGATAGGTATATCAAATCGTATTTATGCTGTCGGCAGATGCTGAATAAGCCAACTCG